TCACAATAGTTTCCTATATACAATAAATTAATGTATAAAAATATAATATAAATTAATGAAACCTAGCTTTCACTCTACTCAAGCCCAAGCTCAAAAGGATCAATGAATTAAGAACAAGAATATAATCAATCACAATAGTTTCCTATATACAATAAATGAATGTATAAAAATTAATATAATAAATTAATGAAAACTTAGCTTTCACTCTACTCAAGCCCAAGCTCAAAAGGATCAATGAATTAAGAACAAGATAGTTTCCTATATACAATAAATTAATGTATAAAAATATAATATAAATTAATGAAACCTAGCTTTCACTCTACTCAAGCCCAAGCTCAAAAGGATCAATGAATTAAGAAGAAGAAATACAATCAATCACTATGGTTTCCTATATACAATAAATTAATGTATAAAAATTAAATAAATAAATGAAAACTTAGCTTTCACTCTACTCAAGCCCAAGCTCAAAAGGATCAATGAATTAAGAAGAAATACAATCAATCATTATAGTTTCCTATATACAATAAATTAATGTATCTAATTAATATAATAAATTAATCAAAACTTAGCTTTCACTCTACTCAAACTCAAACATAAGCGTTTTCACTTCCTTTAAAAAAAAACGAAAAGCACGTGGTAAATGATATATAGCGTCAAGCGATGTAATTGATATTTTATGCATTCAAATATAGTAAACGACATGATTCTTCTCAGGGAATGTTATATTCAAATAATAGATATCATTAAAAATAAATAATGAAAAGAGAAAATAATGTGAACAAAATAATATTTTTTTTTCCTACCGGCCTCTTTTTTGATATTTTCCTCTCATCGGCCTCAAAATCGACATTTTCTCGCGGCCTCGTGGGCAAAATGCCCACTGGGTCTTATGGCCAGTCCGCCCCTGATAAAGACATATAGGGTATAATATATATTATTCAATGGAGACATATGAATCTCAAATTAGACTCTTAAAAATATTATTTCCGTTTAAAAAAAGAAAGAATTAGGCATACCCATAGATTTTTAAATGTGTCCCAGATTCCTCCCATGCCAAATAATTGTTGACATATTTTAAAGATTATTTGGTATATTATATCTAAAATAATATATTTTCTAATAGTTTCTAATCCTCATCAATTTTTTTATATGCTTTTTTAGATTTGAACTGCTTGACATAGAGGTTAAAAATTTTAGGGTTCAATTTACAGTTATAAAGTGTAGACTTAGCCCTTTAATTTTCTTTATTTGTGTGAACTGGGACCAGAGCAGAATTAATTCATCATAAGAAATATATAATTGATATTTTAAAATAAATTATAATATTATAGGATTACATCTATGTCGATCTAGAATTGTCCACTTGCCAAAGTGTTATAATTGGGTTGGGAGAAGTAGTTTAGATTCAAATATAAGAAAAACTTAGAGATTAATATTACTAAAAAATGAGAGTTAATTTACAATACTATTTCCAAATGGTAGCCTAAATAAATTACACTCAAAAATTTCTGTGATAATTTTATTTGATAAAATTAAAATGCAAGCGAAAAATAAACACATAATCATTTTTTTTTTGTTCCATATGCTCCATTCCAACTTTATTTATGAGAATTTATTAAATAAAAGCAAAATAAACAGGTAACTATACTATAAATCATCTAATTATATTAGATACACAATTTTTATTTAATTATAATTTATTCATATAAATGATAATTTAGATGAATAAAAGATTATGCCAATATTTAACTATAATTTCCATGCATATTTAGTTATTTTTTTTTAATAAAATTTAAAAAAGGTGTACAACGGGAGATTATAAAATATAATAGCATAAACATCCACAATTGTGTTGTCAAATGGTTAGATTTGAGCCAATTATAATCTAAATATATTAGCCAGAAAAATAAGACCTATGACTTGAAATTTAGTTATTAGATATCTAAACCTGTGTGTCATCTATGAAAATCTTAAGAGTTGCATTTGGATAAAATATTGAGTTAGCCTTTTATAAAAATCGGCTCAAATCGAGCCTTTTAACAACACTAGAGTTCTCTTATAAAAAATTAATATTTTTAGTCTAGTTTTTATTTATATAATTAGTGGAAACTAACCTATTAAAATCCATACCTAATTCAAAAATTTCAAATGCAGCACTCCAATTCTAGAGAGATACCTTGATTGATTCACTATTAATTAGATTAATAAGATGATATAAAATTAGTGCTGTAATTCTAAAAAATCGAACGCGTTCGCGTTCAACGTTCATTGATAAAAATCGAACGCGTTCACGTTCAAGTTCACTTTCAAAAAAAGGAACGCGTTATGATAAAATTTTTTTTAAATTTTCTAATATAAGTGAATGTTTTATATTTATTAACACAATATTAGCCATGTTAAAAAATAATATAGTTTTATTTTGATAATATAATTATAAATTCAAAATAATATATCAAATAAAAAGATAATTTTATTTATAAAAATTTTTCTTATTAATTTTTAATAACAATTTCAAAATTTTCATCTGATAGACAGGAACGCTTGGCAGTTAATACGGCATTAGCTATACTAAAAACGCGCTCAAAATAGATGAAGTGATTGCGGTATTATACTTAATAAATAGCTCTTTTAACGTGGGGAATTTATTAAAAACATTTATTGTTTTGTTATTTGCTTCAAAGAATTGAGATAAGTTATCCTCCTTCCTCGACAAAAAGGATATCTCGAAATTAACAGTTCTTGCATTATCACTTCTAGGGTTTTCAAAGCATTTTTTACAATAACGCTATAAGTTTATTTTTAATAGGTTCGTTCTGAGGAAGTTTTATACATGGCCATTGAAACTTGAATACTGGATGTATAATTGCAGAAAGAACATATTGATCTTTATATATGTTCAAATCTTTAAAAAAATAAAATATATGTAATTAATTGAGAGTAATAGGTTTAATACCTTTTATAATCCCATTTAATATGGCGTCTATCAATAGTTGACCATATTTAGGCCACTAATTTTTTTTAATTTTAAAATAACTATTGTTATTGTTGGGGTCAAATATCCCAAATGCATTTTTTCTTCAAATTTAATGATTTTACTTAGTTATATTATATAAAATAAAATAATTAATTTTACAATCAAATGTCGTTTTAAATTGTAACCTGAAGATTTTGACAATATAATACTTTGGGCAGATTTTACACTTGTTAAGCATTGAATTAGTTCCTTCAATATGGGATGTTACTGTTAAACATTTATCATCTTTGGCCATGGTAATGATAATTCATCTGATTTTGGATTTTCAGAATCAGATGATGAGGATTAAATAATAATATCCATGCTTATGCTAATCTATTAAAATTAAAATATAAACAATAATATTCAAATTAATAAACTATGTGTTAAAAAAATTGAAATTGTGAAAAGGAAATACGCAGTCGATTACAAAATATAAATAATACTTTTTTAAAAAAAATTCGGAAATATTAAATTTTTCAAATAAATAAAAATAAAAATTATTTTTTAAATTGAACGAACGTTTAAATTCGAATGTCATAAAAAAGGAACGCGTTCACGTTCAAAGTTGGTCAAAAATAAAAGGAACGCCGTTTATCATTTTTTTCAAAAAAACGAACTTCGTTTACAACACTATATAAAATTAATCAATAAAAATGAAGTAATTAAATAAAAATGAAGAACTTTGGTAGTTAATCTGAATTTAAAACTGGGCTTAAATTATTTATGAAATTAATAAAAAAAATATAATATATAATAAAATATTTTTTTACCTATTTTTAAAAAAAAATTTTAAATAAACGTTTTGCGTTAATCGTTATTCAAAAAATGTGAACTTGTTACTCTTTCCTTTTGAAACAAACAATGAGTGGTTAGTTAAAAAAGGTAACGAGCGACGTTACTTCAAAGTTACTTTACAGTACTAATTTTATATTATTATTTAAAAAAATTTATATTTTGGTTTCATTAAATAACAACGCACATACCAGATTAAATTCCGATAAAGATTTAAAAAAAATTGATGAATGAAGTCTTGCGAAGATGATCTAAGAATTTTTTAAAAAATAAAGACGATGCCATTCTTTATATATTTTTAATAAATTCCACCAAATATTTTAATTTATTAAGTATAATAAAATCCTCCCATCCTCCGCGCCAATTGAATGTGTGTTTGACACAGCGAAAACTGTGTTGAAAACTTATCTGATCAAAATTTTGAAAATCAATTGTTTAAAATAAATAAAAAATTATCATAAAAAGATCTATATATTATTTTTGTATAACTTTTTTTTATTATCTATGGGTAAAAAAAGAAAATTTATATATAATATTTAGTATTTTTTTAAATAACGAGTAACATGTTACTTTTTTTTGATTAGAGAGTAACGCATTCCCTCTTTCACAAGATAATGAGTAAGGCAATCGTTTTTTTTTCAAACGTAATGAGGTTCTTTTTTGAAGTAACGTTTACAGTACAAAATACGAATAATTCTTGTTATTATATTACAAAAATAAATACATTAAAAATATTGGTAATTTCGATGAGATATAAGTAACGGGCTTTTCAAATTATTTGGGGCTTGAAGTGGGGTTCTGGACTCGACAATTCTAGAGAGAGAGAGAGAAAGAAAGACTAAAATAATCATTTTTTTATTGAAAAGGTTTTTCTTAAGGCTGTTTCGGGAAGAACTTATATTTCTAGAGTTTACCAAATTATAAATTCCATCACTTAAATTAAAATAAAAATATTTTAAAAAGAGTTATATGAAGTTAAGGCTTTCTTTCCAATAAAAAAAGGACAAAAGCAAATAGATTGATTATTATATAAATTACATATTAAATGAAGGGTGCCAATAAAAAATCAAACTTTTTATCATTGCTTATATTTCTCTAAATTCCTTTAATTGAATCTGATAAAAATAAAACGTACATATATAATTCTCATCATTAACCAATCCCATAAAATACCGATAAGATTGATATAATGTAAAATGATTGTTATTAATGTTTTTTTTTAAAATAATTCAAATCAGAATTATACAACTAGTATAATTAAATTCATCCTCTAATTACTCTTTTAAAATTAGAAGAGTTTTAAACCTTGAAAATGTTATAATTTTTTTAAGGAAGAAAAAAAATTATGTCCACAGGACAAAATAAATTAGCGGATAAAGGGAAAGTTGATGAATTAAACGGGAATGGAAATCCAGACGATGCGGACCCAAAGCAAAAAAAAATGAACGATTTATCAAATATTCGTAAACAAAATAATGAGGTCAACGCTTCGGTACCAACCAAACCCTCAGGTATAGACGAGAAGATAACTTCCAAGACCTCCATCACGACTCTTAATGGATTGATACAACGTAGACAGCTATTGACAGAACCAAACAAAAAGATAGGAAGGAAAATCATGGGAGTTGTGGATAAGAGAATGTCTCGGCATATGTCTCTATGGAAACAACGACAGACATCGATATCAACTTTAGATGATTTGAAACAAGAGCTAGACATAGTTTTGCTATAATAAAAATAATTATTATTTATGAATATTACAGGCGTTCTGTATGGACCCTATTTTCTCATGTCCTTCCAAAAATATTTTTTACATTGAACCATCAAAAAAGCAACGGTATTGGATAGAAAGTGGAAAAATTAAATGTGCTAAAGGATAATAAAAAAAATAACCTTATTCTTAAAAATATTAATGATTAAAACCTTATGAAAACGAAATATTTTAAAATTTTATCAAGGTCCAAATCTAACCGAATTAAAGTGTTTTATTGAGTTCGACTAACCCTGGACTCATAGTTTGTGCGAATTCACGGCTATTATATAAAATATGCTGTGTTTTGTAAATATTCTTCGCGAAATCGATCTAGAATGAGACATAATCCGAGTTTGGTCGAATCGGAATCGGATTAGACTTAAACTATGGTCGGTCCACAAAAGGGCACTAATATATATATATTTTATGAAGTTTCTATATATTATAAGTTGACTGAATATATAAAAAAATTAACATTTTGTTTTATTATACAGGATTTTCATTATGTGGAAATAGGAAAATTATACGAAAGATTTGAGACTCACCCCATAAATGTAACATTAGTTTTTTATTAATATATTATATATCTAAAAATAGGGCTTAACTTCAACAAAAGCCGTAGAATTACTGAAAAAACATGGCATGAATGCTTTGACTCCACCACCCAAGACCTCTGAGTGGATAAAACTTTTGGAACATCTAGTTTCAGGTTTCTCAATTTTATTGATCATTGGATCTATTATGTGCTTAATAGCATACGCTATCCAATATTCATTAATCAATCGGACGGTATCAAAGGACAATGTAATAAATAATTTTCCTCATAGTTTTTAACATAAAAAAAATACATATTTTACTCAGCTATTTCTAGGAGCTGTGCTCGCGGTGGTTGTATTAATAACAGGTTTTTTTTCATATTACCAAGAAGCAAAAAGCTCGAGAATTATGGAATCCTTTAAAAAAATGATGCCACAAGTAATTCTCACACATTTTATAATAAAAATTTATGATAACACTATAGCGCGCATTGGTGATAAGGGACGGTAAGAAAATAGATATAAAAGTGGAAAATCTCGTTATAGGGGACATTGTGGATATACGATTCGGTGATAGAGTTCCGGCAGATGTACGAATTATCAAAAGCCAAAGTTTTAAGGTAATATAAATTTTTAAATACAAACTTTACTGTCTAGACTACTTAATAAATGGGGAAAAAAAGGTAAATTACGTGGTTTATAAACTAGCCCAGTATAAGATTAAATAAAATTGGAAATCATTTAAATAGTTTTGTAACATTCTATATATATTACACAAGGTTGATAATTCTAGTATAACTGGTGAATCGGAACCCCAACCAAGATCAAATATTATGACTAGCCTCAATCCTCTGGAAACTAGAAATCTCGCTTTTTTTTCTACCTACGCGATTGAAGGTTATAAAAATGTCTGATAATTTATTTATAAATAAATCTTATATTTTATATATCCTATCATTTATTAATAACTATTACTATAATGACATTCATATGATATGAGCTTACGAGGAAAGTTTCTCATAAAAGATTTTAACGGTTTTTATAATTTTTTATAATAATAAAGGTTAAAAATTAGCTTAAAAAAAATACAAAAACTAATACCTGTCCATTATTATTTTATTAAGTGGGATCTTCTCCCTAGTACACACCTTTGGCCGTTTCCTGCTGACCGTAAGATACCATCTAATTTAGTCCTCAGTTTCTACCATCTTTTTTTTCATTCCATCTGCAATCCACAACTTCCTCCCCTTTTTCAACTCCCCTCCCCAAATAAAGAAGGAGAAAGGTGAATAAATTAGAAAGTTTATAGATTTTTTTCCTGAGATTTTTATTTCAAGGAATTTTTTGTTTATCTGGTATTGTTTCTGCGATTATCGATTTTAAACTTTTATTAAGTATTTCTAAAGCCTATGGTTAGATTTAGCTGAGGTACGGGTTATAGTTTTAATATTTGTTAATATTGATAATTTAATATTATATTTATATCTTAATTTCTTTTAATTCTTAAGAGAAAAAAAAAGATGAATTAATCAAAATCAAAGTAAAGATTTAGTGGTTATTTGGATGAGTTTCGTTATTTATAATATAACATTTTTATTTTATTACTGTTTTATAAACCCTTATATTTCAATTCAATAGCATATTAATTTTGATTTGCTATAACGAGGATTGTATGTTTGCGATCTTTTTAGTTAGTTATATTAATCTAGGAAGAATATCTTAAAAATTAGATCTTTTAAAATAAAAAAAAATTGTTTATATCAGTAGTATAAAACTTAAATTAAAATTAGTGAAACCGAAGAATAATACCATTTATAATAAGAGGTAATCCACTCATCAGTTAACTCTAAATATTTAATTTAACATAATGCATAAAATCATAACAAAATAAAATAATTGAAAATTTTTTTTTGGTAACTATACTACAAAATTGATTATTTATTCTGATAAAAATTAAAATATATTCCTTTTTTTAGTTGCTTAATTAAAACAGTTAATTTATATTAAATAAAATTATATTTAATTTTCAACAATATTTTCGAAAGGTAACGCTAGAGCGATAGTAATTAGCACGGGGGACGCTACTGTGATGGGCAGGATTGCCAACCTAGCTTCGATTATTGTAATAGAAGAGACTCCTATACACAAGGAGATCAAACGTTTTGTTTTTATTATAGCATCAATCGCAGTTTTTTTCGGCGTCTTGTTCTTCATAATTTCCATAATAATAGATTATACCTTGTTAAACGCAATAATATTCTTCATAGGTATTATAGTCGCTAACGTGCCTGAGGGATTATTACCTACTATCACGGTAAATTTCATAATAATATAAAATTCTTTTAAGGCTTAAAGTGTGTCATGATAGCATACATTTATTACGATCGACACTAAAAATGCTATTTATTTTTACAGGAAAATAATTTAGATTGATTCGATTAGGCTTAAAGGGTTTATAATTATATGAATTATATATTTCATGATAAATAATTATTAATTAGGTATGCTTAACATTAACGGCTCAACGTATGGCTTTAAAAAATTGCCTAGTCAAAAATTTAGAAGCCGTAGAAACGTTAGGGTCTACATCCACTATATGTTCAGACAAAACAGGAACCTTAACTCAAAATAAGATGACTGTTTCGCACGTTTGGCTTGATCGTCAGGTTCACAAAGTCGAATTCGGAACCGAAAATGAAAGTTCGCACTTAAATAATTTTTATATAAGCTATTTAATACGAAATATTTTATGTTTATTTAGCAAATAAATATGAGAATAGCAAGACGTGGAATGCGCTGGCTAGAATAGCAACACTTTGTAATCATGCCATTTTTACACCTACTCAAGATAAAGTTAACATTATGCAAAGGTTTATGCCGAGAATGTTATTTAAGCAATTTTTCCAAAGCCATATAAAATAATCCTGTTAACCTAAATGAGATTGGTTGTTTTTAATTTTTTGCTGGATAAATTAATTTTTTTGTATAATATTTTATTTTAAAGGGATAAGCCTAAATTTTTTATTTATTTTAAAATATTGACTGATAAGATATAATGAAGAATTCCGATTTCATCAAAGGATTTAACCCGATCCTCTTAGAGATTTTTCCAAATTTTATATTATAATAATATTATAAATAGTTTATATAAATTATACTTTCCGAATATGGCTCTTAAAAATCGGGAAATTTACAAAATGCACATTGATTTATTTTCAAATATTTGGGAAATAATTCAGTTAGAACAGTGATTTAACTTTTATTTAATAGCCCATAAAAATCAGCCTGTTATGAAAAAACGAATAGAATACATAAAAGCCATTCTTACTTTTTTTAATAGGTAACTAGGCGATATACCTATCAGAGAGCCTGGATTTTTTGATAAGGTTAGGCCCAGACCTGGCGTAAAAATTTTTTATAGGACAGGCCTATATTTAATATTAAAAAAAATTTCCAAGCCCGGCTCAAGCCAATAAATTTTAAAAATTTTGCCTAAACCCATATCCAAAAATTAAACTTATTGTATTTACTGAAAATAAATAATATAACAATAATTGAAAGCATTATTCATATTTAAAATATCTATACAATATATTTTGAAAATTATGTGAGGTTAAATGTAAGTAAATCATGTTTACAAACATTACCCCATCTAACGCCTCAATTTTGGCAGATTTTTAAAAACTTCTAACTCAATATTTTAGTCAGAAAAATATTGCCTTAGCCTAGCTAATGGATATCCAAACCTTTGAGCCATTTATGAGAAAAATATTTAGGCAGGATTGTGTAATAAATATTGAGTAAGCTGTTTTTTAAAAATTGATTCAAAACGAGCCATTTAAAACAACACTAACCCGAAAATATTTTCATACAATTTTTCAAAATATTTTTTAATCGATATTCTATTTTAAAGTATGAAAGATATTTACATAAAATTTAATGAATTAATTATACCATATATGACGGATTTGTAAAACATCATATAAATTAAACTTAGCTCAACCCAATTTACGATTTGATAAAGAGAAGTCTAGTCTATTTTCCATTTATAATTTTTTTTTGCTTTGAAATGTCTTTTTTTCTATGGCCATCCTATTTTCTTCTATTCCAGTTTTTGGCATTAAAACAATATCACTATGTATGTATAACGATAACGATACTTAAGGTATCTATAAAAATTAAATACAAGCTTATTAATTTACAGACATATTATGCATTTTCTCACTTTCATTTTTAATGACGAATTGGGAACTAAAATTTTGTTTCCTTCATTTTTAAACTGTCATTAAAATCTAAGTGGATCAGATTAAAAATTAAAAGGAATACCAATCGTTAAAAATTATCTTTAAAATAATCTTTTTAACCGCAGTTATTTTTCTTAGAAGATTAAAATTCTCTTAATTCATTAAAACTTTTAAAACCTATTTATTATAAGACCTCCAAAAATTTCAAATATATTGAATTTTTCCCCACCAGAGATTCACGTGGGTAGAATGACTTTACAATATTTTAATTTTAGAGAGTGCATAGGTGACGCGTCCGAATCTGCCCTATTAAAATGCATAGAAGCGAAAATAGGAAATACCGAAAAAACTAGAGAACTCAACGTAATGGTTGCTGAGATTCCTTTTAATTCTACCGATAAATATCAAGTAATTTTTGGCTATTTTTTTTACTGTCATGGAATAATTTTTTATATAAAAAATATAATGTGCAAGGTTTCCATTCACGAGATACCTGATCATTCGAAATATTTATTGGTAATGAAGGGAGCACCCGAACGAATTTTGGATCTATGTAAAACGGCTCTAATATACGACGAAGAAAAGAAGGAAGAAAGGGAAATTATAATTGACGAAAATTTTAAACAGGAGTTTAATAAGGCCTACGTACACCTTGGGGGAATGGGCGAAAGGGTTTTAGGATTTTGCGATTTTTGGATGCCAATCGACCAATACCCATTTGGAAAATTTTATTTTGATACCGAAAATGTCAATTTTTCTCTAAGCAATTTTAGATTTGTTGGAATGATGTCAATGATTGATCCTCCTCGACCTGGTGTACCAGACGCAGTCTCTAAGTGCAGAAGTGCTGGAATCAAAGTTAGTATATTTTTTTAAACTTTATCTTCCATTACCTAATTCTTTATTTTTTAATTTTTTCTTTTAGATAATTATGGTAACCGGTGATCATCCTCTCACAGCTAAAGCTATCGCCAAACAAGTTGGAATCATATCGGAAGCAAACGTCATTGTTGAAGAGATTATTGATAATCACAAAGAATTTTCCCCCGAGTATACTAAGCATTTTAGTCCTCTCTTATCTATTTTTAAAGAAAAAGAAAGAAAGAAAGAGTTTAATTGCAAAATTTGTTTTGAAATTATGCTAGCTGGTCACATCAGACTTTTAAAGTTTAAAAATCGCTCTCAACATAAATTGAGCGATGCAACCATATCACAATACGATACATTAAAAAATTATTATTTTAGATATAAAACATTTACTATAGTTCAAAAACATAATATCACTTTTATCCTGCTTATTTGGATTGTCAAGAGTCACTACTTTTTTGAAAAATTAATGAATAAAATCAACACTATTTATTATATGCAGGATCAAGAAAATCATTCAAGCCCCTATAAATCTATCATCCAAACCGGAAAACAACGTTAAAAGTATAGTAGTACATGGTCAAGAGTTAAAGGTTCTTAATAACCAAGATATAGATACGATATTAATAAAATTTAGAGAAATAGTTTTTGCGAGAATATCACCACAACAAAAATTGAGTATTGTCGAAGGGTGTCAAAGACTAGGAGAGATTGTTGCAGTGACTGGAGATGGAGTCAATGATTCACCCGCCCTTAAAATGGCTAATATAGGCAATTTTTAAAAATCTTTATAAATGCGTGCCTATCTATAATTTTAAAGAATTTCAATTTACATTGTACAATTGTTCAAAATAAAATAGGAATCGCAATGGGTATAGCCGGGAGTGATGTGAGTAAACAGGCATCAGATATGATATTATTAGACGATAACTTTGCTTCCATAGTTACTGGAATTGAAGAAGGTTTAATTAGTTGTTTGCTAAATGTATTATAATAGAGTTAAACTACTATTATATTACTATTCAGACCTTTCCTCCATTTATTTTTTACTTTAATAATTATCATCGAGTTTAAGATGTTTTTTCTAGCAAAGGGGTTAATCTTTTGTTTTACAGTACAAGCTCTCCAAAATCTTTTATAGGTTATACTTGATTCATTTGAATAGTAAGTCTTTATTTAAGACTTATTTCCAATATTGTTATTTTTTTTAAAATCCAATTGACTTTTGTTTGCTTGGCTAACCCACCTTGTCTGTTCCTAAAAGGCCTGAAAACAATATAATAACCATATTATTTTGACTTTTCAATCCGCTTGTCATCCTAACTGTTCTACTTTAGTTATTTTTATGAACCATATTTTTGCACCATGCGTTATGACTGGAAACAAGTAACTGAATTTAAGATGAGTCTTTCTAACTTAAAAAACAATAATTTAAATTAAAACATTTTTTGAAATTTTTTTAGGAAGGCTTATATTTGATAATTTGAAAAAGTCGATAGCTTACACATTAACCCATAATATACCCGAACTGACGCCCTTTCTAGTTTACGTAACATTTAGCATACCATTGCCCTTGGCGACGATCACTATTTTGTGCATAGACTTGGGCACGGATATAGTAAAAATATGATATTTAATATTTTAATGAAAAATATATAGGTAACCTCAAAAAAATTAGAGGTATTAATAATAAGAAGTGGACTTTTGAGCACATGAGCGTTTTCATTGTTAATTTAAACAAACAATTTGAAAATTAACAATGGAATACCCTTCTCAATCGCTTAAATTATGGCTTTATATAATAACTACAAAAGTGCATAAGGTAATATTAATATTTCAGTCAATCTTGTTAATTTTATTTATATATATGTTGTAGTAGATTAATAAATTTTGGATTATGCTTCATGGAACAAGGTCTTTTTTAGCTAAAAATATAAATAATCTATAGATAGTATTTTTTAAACTTTGAAAGACCTGATTTAACCGAAAAATTGTATTCTAGCATATACAGGATAGGAGTATCTCATAGAACTGTTCTCAACCAGAAAGTTCAATTATTTCGGCAGAATCATTTTTTTAAAGATACACACAATAAATTGTTTTGCTATTTTCCAACTTTAAAAATCACCAATATAGTGAGTTTTTTAAAATTTGAAAATCAAATTTTGCTGGTAATATATTCAACATGTGTCTGCCTTATAAATATAAGGCAGTTCTACAAGATATTCTAACCATATTGCCCGAATGCGCACATTACCTATATTAACATTATGTATAAATATTTAAAATATTGTATATTTCTTACAAAAACAAAGGTACCATCAATTTCGTACGCTTATGAATACCCCGAAAATGACATTATGGAAAGAATGCCCCGTGATCCAAAAAATGAAAAATTAGTTAATTCAAGGTTAACAATTTAAAATCAAACAATAATAAAACGTTTTCTTTTTGCTAATCCAAGACATTTTTTTAATTTTTTTTAAATTATCATTAATAATTCACTTTTAAAATCTGTCTAATTGATCTGAGCGACTATTCTAAACCCGAAGAATTTTTCGATGGCTTTACTAGCACATTAGTCCTTACAATCTCAGAGAATTAATTTTTTTAAAATTATTTTTCTTTGGTTAATAATTGCAAAATAATTTTTTTTTCGAACCTAACAACAGGTATTAATAAAAATATTTTAGCGGGCTAGAACACCTGTGCACCCCCACCCCATAGTGACGTTACTGCTGAAATATATATTAATTATAAGATAATTTTTCTTATGATATCTAGTTCAAATCTAACGGGTCTATTTTAATGTATTTAGATAGAAACTTTTTGTAATATTTATATTTATTTTAGGCTAATAGGTGGTTGTTATGGGCAGATTGGCATAATTCACTCGTTAGCTGGATTTTTTACATTTTTTATTGTAATGGCCGAAAACGGATTTTTACCAAACCGACTTCTAAACATTAGAGAACAGTGGGATTCAGAGTATATTAATGACTTAGAAGACTCCTTTGGACAAGAATGGGTAATTTTAAAATTTTAAATAATATTTTATTATCAAGAATTATTATTATTGAAATTTTTAGACATATGAAAATCGAAAAATACTAGAAAAAGCTGGTTATTCTGCATTCTTTGTGTCTGTTGTTATCGCACAATGGGCTAACCTGATCATCAGAAAAACTAGAAGGAAATCTATATTTCAACACGGAATGAGGTTATAATATTTAAATAGACTCTATCCTAATACTAATATTAATTAGCAAAGTTCTGAAAAAATATTATGATTGCATCTTTGAAAGAGTTTTTTATGCATGAAAATTAACATTATATATACTTGTAAAAGATTTATTATACAAAAATAAATATTGGGTATAAAAGAAATTGATCAAAAATCTTTCTTTTTTTAATTGAAAGGTTTTTAAACTCTGCTAGTTAGACTAATTAGTAAGAAATGATAATAGTAAATTTTTAAATTTATAAATAAAATACATCAACAATAGAAATTGGGTGCTGAATCTTTCCTTATTTTTTGAAACCGGGTTAACCTGTTTACTCTTTTACACCCCTGGATTAAATTCTGCCTTAGGATTTTATCCCATCAAGTAAATATTTTTTTAAACAAATTTGATCAATTGTTTTCTAATAAAACTCTTTTTTTTAAATTAATTACATCGTCATAGGGCTATTTGGTGGTTGCCAGCCATGCCATTTAGCGTCTTAATTTTCGTGTACGATGAAACTAGAAGATATTTTATGAGGAAATATCCTGGTGGCTGGATTGAATGCGAGACCTACTTTTAAATAAGCCTTCCGCCATCCTCATGAAATAAACTGTTTGTATTTTTTTAAAGGAACATAAATCGTTATAACATATTGTACCATTTGATTTTTAATGTTATTTTTTTTAAAAAAAACATTTAATTCAACACAATTAAAGGTATCCCAATATGCAACTTTTTTTTATAACACTTTCAAATTATTATAAAATATACCTCTTTCAAATTTATGGTAAATAATATGAATGTGTTTGTTATTTATTAAGAATGTGTTTATTATCGCTAATGTGTTTTAATCGATCAATTACTTTTTTGGTTATTTTTCTTGTTTTTAATTTTCCTTATTATTCAAATGTTTTCAATTACTGTAATACTATATATATCATCATAAACTGATGAGAAAACATAATTATTATTTTTTTTACTTGTAATTTTTCAAATTTTATACGAAAAAATAAACGTTACTTTTGACTTTTAGTCCATAATAAAGTTAAATATTTGTATTTAAATCATTGGCGTACGCAGCGGGGAGGGGGTGGCAGGGGGACAAATCCCCCCAAGCCAAAAAATGCAGATGCCGGATTATATTTTTCAAAAATATTATTGTTAATATTAATTTATATTTGTTAATATTTATTCCTATCTCATATATATTTATATTTAATTATATTTATTTATCACATTCATCTACTAAGTTATTTTATCAATCATCCTTGGCGTAATTTACCTATTATTTTCAAATTTTAGTTGCGTAATATTAATTTAAATTTCTAGTCAAATAATAATTATCTCTGAAACTCCTTGTCCAACAGGGAAAAAGAAATTGCAAGCTTGTCCAACGAAATCGAGTCTCCGTCATCAAGCAGTAACAGCTATTATGGAGTTAGAAGAGCCGATTATTAATGCTATTACTAAAATATCACAATGGCTTGAAAGAAATATTTCCTCAGAAGCAAGAAATTTATTGGATTCAATACTTATTTCAAATTTTTTTTCTCATTAGAATGTATTATTTAATTATACAACTATTTTATGTAATACTTTTCAAAAGCATAGCGGAGAGCATTTTATTAGAACTCAAGGAAATCAGAGCTGATGTTGTTGAAGAATTTCATATTTTATATGTTATTGTTGAGTCAAAAGCAGAGCTATACGTGTTTAATATTTGTCCCCCTCGACTTGCAGCAAGCAAGCTCATCGTCAAAACATTTATATAAGATCAGTAGAAAAGTATTATAAAACAAATGTCCCCTCTCCCAACCTTTTTCAAATGGTGATATAAAAAAAATATAAAAATTTTTTAGATTTTTATCATGAAGATGTTAAAATATCTTATGATGCCTTATTAGCTAAATAACTATGATTAAAAGATTAACTATTTGATACAGTCCCAAAAAATGCTATGGATGCTTTTTATTTCAAACACATTTTAGATTATACTCCCAATATATTAAAATGGTTATATATATTAGCAGCTCTTTAGTAAACTAATGAGAGAACATTCTCTTTTTTAAGAAGAATAACAGAGCCTTGCAGCGGTACCATTTGCAGGACACGGCCCAGATTTTTATAAAAAATTATTAGGCCTGACCCGGCTATTTTGAAAATAAAATTTTCAGGCCCGGCCCGAATTTTTTATAGCTAATAATGGCGATTTCAAATATTTGGTTTTAAAATATACAGCTCGGCCCGGATATTTTTTCTAAAATAAATTACGGGCCCGGCCCGGGTATATTTAAAAAAATTAAAATACGGTCCGGCTCAAGGGCCGGGCCTGCAAGTCTGTGAAAAACATACCTATGAAATACAACATCTGAAAGTAGATTGAATGATTTGGATCTTTTAAATATTCAAAGGCATTTAACGCCAAGCAAGGATAGTTAATTAAAAAATTAGCTCAAAACATACAAAATACAATTATTCCTAAGAAACTTTTCGTTTATTAATTTATATTTCCAACATTTAAATTTTTTATACTTTATATATTTTAAAAGCTCAAAAAATTCAAATTTCAATTTGGGTCATTTAAGTGATTCATATCGTGGGTTATATTTACTTTATATTTTATAATTCACATTTATTTTATAGTTTTTCAATGCCGGTTTATATATATAATTTTTTTAATTCACATTAGTTTAAAATTGTATATTAGAAAAGTTATCTAATAAATTTATGCTTAGTATTTTTAATTAACAGTAATATTTCTTAAAAAATTTTATTATCCCCCCAGACCAAATTCCTGCGTACGCGCCTGATTTAAATTATTTCAACAACTTTCTAAGTGTTGGTATATGATATGAATTCTTAAAAATCATATATTTTTCAATAATATTCAGTTAAGACCATTTTTTTAAAAAATTTTTTTTGCTCAAATCAGTATTTACACTAATCAATGATTAATTTGTTTAGGAAAAATAAGAAATGTTAGCTCCAAATTTGACGACACTTTAATCGTAATTTTACCAACCTCTAAATTGATTTTGAAAAATTAGCCATAAAAATTTCTATTTAAAAAAAATTCTATGCGTTTAAACGAAATCAGGGAAAAAACAAATAATTAATATTTATACTAATATTATATTGATAATTATTATTGCAAACAATCAAAAAAATGTCATAATAAAATTTTTAATTTTATACCGCACTATAATTTAAATAAATTTTATATAGCTATCATTCCTATCGGGGTTTACTGTAAGCTCGAGGATTATGGTTCAACTAAGGGAAATTACCGCAGCTGATTATATTAAAGTTCTACTTATTTTTTTATAATCACATGACCTATCAGGTTTTTAATAAAAATTGATCAAATTTTATTAAAAATCGAATTTAAAACTTAACCCATAACTCAAACTTTTGAATAACCATAGCCCAAGCTCTCTAACTTTTATTACTACTCCTTTCGGATGCTTTTTTAATTTAAGTATCATGCAATTAAAAAATTTTCTTCAGTTAAACATTTCTTGAGTTGAGAGATTATCAAGCTCGAAATAGCGTGATATCGTTCTCCAAACAAATATAAGATATACAAATTAAGCAAATATATATCGATCATTAGTTTGTAGTGAATATATTTGATAAAGCACTTAATATATTGTTATTCTTTACGCTTAATGGTAGTTAACATATTTATAATCAAGTAAGGTATAAAATAAAAAAGAAGAAAGTAATAATTTTGCAAAAATAATTGTAATCTAATTATTTTAAGGTATTTTATATACTATAATAAAAAATGATATAAGCGCAAGCAAAATTTAACCCGCTAGCGTCAGATAATTTAGAATTAAATGTTACTCTTACAATGATGTAATAATTATTTTAAATTTATATCATAATATATTGGCATCTACATGATAGAAAATTTATTGGAGACAAACTCCCTCAAAATTTACCTCCCCCCCCCCCTAAATATTTTGTCTACCCATTATATTATAGTATCGCCATGATATTAATGGACAAATCTTAAAATATGCAATGATTTGTAACCCAATAAAATCCTTATTAAACTTTTCAGGTATTATAATTTAGGTTAGGAATACCAAATATATTAGTTGGTGATAATCAACTAGTTGTTACTAACCAAAATCTACAAATTAGGCACCAGCATTTATAAACTAAAACTATTAAAATGTTTGCTGTGAATGACTTAAAATATAATTAATTATTAAAATCGAAATAAATATCTCATATTAAATGAGAATCTTTTACTATTTTAACCTTTGATCAATAACAATGTCTATTTTTAATTTAACCAACCCTCTTTTGAATGCCTACCCCCTCTCCTCTAAGAAAAATAGAAGTAAATGGTTCCTAACTTCTCCCCCTCCCTCTCATAGAGAATCAGTAAGAGCATAGCAAAAAATATAATATTATTACATTGCAAATAATTGCTATTATTATAAAATTTTGGGTGCTAGTGTTCTATATCCACCTTTTTGCATATGATATTTTTTTAATAAATAAATTCTTCTATATCAAATTTTTATATATCCGCAATATAAATTGTTAAAATATAATTGAAAATAATCATTATTTGCATTGTTACATTGCTATTTCCCATTTAAGATACAAGAAATAAACCCTTTTTATTAAATGTACTCCTGAATTATTATTTAAAAAAATGGATATAGAACATTATAATACTCAACCTATCACACATTTGGTAAAATGGTGAAATATTTGATCACTTAAGGTATATAAAATGTTGAACCATATTATTTTATGGGTTCTAATAATTTTTTTTAAAAATAGGGGAGGGCTTAGTTTCAGAAATAGCCAGAATTCTTAATTGGAATACATTTTAAAAATTTTAAAAAGTTTTTGACAACCAGATTTAGATCGAAAACTCTATCATCTACAGCCGGAGGCAAAATAAGTAACAGCTTTGACTATTTCATAAATTCTTATAATATATATAATCCTGGAATTCGAATCTAGAACATAAACTTCAAGGATAATTTTTATTACAGACAATTTTATACCAAGATTACATAAAATTTGGTTAATAAATATTTCAAGTAATTATATAAATTTAAAAAAAGATATCTATATATATATACTTTTTTAAATGCATATTATCAATAATCCATATATTAGAATCCCATTATGTACTGTGTCCCAATTGAACTGATACCCTTTTTGTTTTGGCAATCTGTAAATTCAAAAAATAATTCAATAAAATTTTTAAATTGACTTATCAATGTTTTTCGCAGATTTCATCAAATTCTATTGATAGAATTCAATGTTCTGCACATTCAAAGTTGGACAAACAAAATTTAAACCTTCCAACATGAAAAGATAAACATTATTTTTTTGCAAATACCTTATAAAAAAATATGACGTCATAATAATGGAAGCAAACCTATGCCTGACCGGAAAAATATTAACCAAGGAAAATTTAAATCAAATTCATAAATTAAATCAGTAGATGAATATGTTTATATTTAATAAAAAATGATTATTTTAAAATATAAATGAATATGATAAAATTTTGAAAAATATTTCCGGATCTGCAATGGATGTTGGCTGCGTATCAAATAACTAGCCGTAATAAATTTCTGAATCCTATATCTTAAATAGCTCCTAGAATAATTCTAAATTTTTTAACCCCCCCCCCCTCCCCCATATTTGAATTGGTCATCTTTTATAGAAAGTGCAGGATATTACAGCTATCTTAAATTTATTAATCTTAAAAATTATCAGGTAATGTTTGATATCGAAAATTAAATTATTCCGCATTATATATCATTCTATAGTAAATTAAATAAGAGTTCAAAGAGTAAATATTGATCACTGATATTAACCCAGGATTTTTTTTTAACATAAAGGTAAATTTGTTTACCGATTAATTTTAAAAATACTATATTAATATAATTATGCAACCAATGGTGTCGCTATTTTTTACAATCTTTTTTTAAATTATAGAAAATATTTTCAAGTAATTCTAAAATATTTTTTATAAGATTTATTAAGCCCAATTTGAGAAGACTTGAGGTCCTATGCTACCCTCAATGATGCTACTACATGCAACACGTGGAAAGTGATAAATATTAAATGATTATAATTGTTTTATATTATTATTTTTTCTTTATATTATGTAATAAAATAAAAATAGACAATTGTAAGGCGATTAAAGCCCCATAAAAATTCTATTGTCTATTTAAGGGATCGATTAAGAATTTCTATGTATTATATTTTTTAAAGGATGAAATTCAAATAAAGGTGATACAATGGGAAAAGATATAGTATCGAGAAAAAACTGGATATTTATTAATAATCATAAAAAGTAGTATTATATAAAGCGGGTATTTGTTCTCGAATTCATAATTATATTTTTTTTTTTAAACTTGTCTTAATTATAATATATTAAAAAGTTTTTATTAACAATTAATTTCTAACCTGAAATATCGATGGAATTGAAATATTTATCTTTAAGTGATGAGGTATCGAAGGCTAAATTCGACAAAAAAGGTGGGGAAGACAGTGGAATCTCGGATCAAGCATCAACTTCTTCCAAAATCATTAAATCAGATTCACTTAGGTTAGTTAACAAAACGGACAAAGATATAGAATTTAAAAGCAACAAGGATACAATTGACTTATTTACCAAGCCGATTCATATATCAAGATTTATGATTTATGAGGTCCGCGCCAATGACTCAAATTTGTCTTCTAAGAGTTTATATGTTCCACCTATAAGGTATGAGATCAGAAATCCTTATCCTGATGAAATCACCGAGATATGCCATTGGAGACACAAAGAATTAGGCTTCCGAGCCCATTTGGATTATTTGAGGTCCCTTTACAATTGTTATCCATCCGGTTGGATCGTAGCTATCGACAAAAAAGGAGAGATAATAGGTATAATATTATAAATATTTGTAAAATAAATAAATATTTTTCTCTTTAATTTTATTTAAAAGGAACAATATTTGCGATGAATATGAACGAGGACCAAGCTTTTGGGGGACTATTCGCTGTAAAGAAGGCTTATAGATGTCAGGGAATAGGTGGACAATTATGGAAAGTTCGTTTGAATTACATTGGAAATCGCAATTTAGGAATCAATGCCCTGGAATCAAGGATAGCACCTAACGAAAAACTAGGGATGAAAGTGGCATTTAGAAGTATAAAGAACATATTATTTATTTAAAATATATAATTATTTCCTTATTTTCTCTAAATATTCAGTGTCGAGATATTATGGAAGACTTACTATAAGAGTCATAAATTCCTTCAAACTCAAATTTCGTGCTCCTGTTTCAAATAACTACACTTTCAGAAAATTGTCAAATATTCAAGAGAGTCTACCAACTTCTATGAATCAAAAAGAGCTGCTACAATCGATCATAGAGTACGATACGCAAATAAATACGATTCCTCGTGCTCAGTTTCTCGAAGAAGCTATAAATCATTTTGAACACACAATAACCATTGCATGCATCGAAGAAACTATTATGGCAATTGATAAAGACAACGACATCATCAAATGATTGCCTAAAATAGTAGGTTACGGAATGTTAAAACCTCGTTTGGAAGGTTACTCAATAGAGTTCCTCTATGCCGATTCCACGGTTATAGCAGAATTGTTATTCAGAAATTTAATTAATCATATAGAACCTAACACCCTCATCGACATAACTATAATCGACGATTGTTTTGGTAAGAAATATGCTCCGAAGAAAATGATTGGTGGCTTAGTAAATAATTCCCGCTTGATGTGTGTTAAAAACATAATAGCCAATTTGGGACTCGATCTGGAATGCAATTTGTATCGTATGTATTCGAAAAGTAATGTTGAATTACCGGTGAGCAAAGTGTTCGCGATGAGTAGTTCTGAAGCATTTTTGGCGTAAAAATGACATTGATATTTTTACGGATATGTTATTATATATATATATATAGTATAGTGTTTTATATATATTCCATTTATTTTTGTTGTAAATTGAATAAAATTATCTTATCACACTTTTTTATGAAGTAAGATATAAGAAAAATTATATGAAGGAAACCTGACTTATAACAGGAATAATATAATTTATAATCTAAGCCAATATAATTGAAGAGGAAGGGGAGGGGGGGGGGGGGTTCAAAAATTATATATTTAAAAATATAAGTTATTTGGGCTATCTTAAATCGAGACATTGACATAGCAAAGATGCCACCATGGGGATAAGTTAAGAAATATATCCCAATATTTTGTAATTTGCTATAATCGGTATGGAATAATTGTTTGCCAAAAATTAACAATTTTAACTTGAATCAGGCTAATGTTAAATTAGCTCTATATTTCATACTGTATATCATATTCTATGTTCATAAATTCTACAATTATATTTAATTTAAATATTTTCACTCTATTGCCTGGTATGTAGTGCAATATATTTATATCAACATTATATTTTATGTCAACTTTTTATTTAAGTGAGGTAATCAATTATATCGTCGGTCTAGAATTGAGTGCTCCACTTGCAAAATTGCGAAGACTAGATTTTAAAGTTTAGATTCAAATAAAAGAAAAACTTGTAGATTAGTATAAATAAAAATTTGAGAAGTTAATTATTATATTATTTTCAAATGATAGCCTAAATAAATCAAAAAGATTGAAATTCACTCAAAGTTTTGGACCTTTAAATAATAAATGAAAGTAGAATAAAACTTGGTTTAACTTTAAGTAGTTTCTCCAAATGTGATGTTGAAGGAAAATCATTAAAATAGCTTATCAAGATTCGAATATATTTGAAAAGAAATGCTTTCTACCAAAGCTTTATTTATAAGAAAAATATTTATTTCTACCAAAATTTTAATAATTGGACATATTTTTTAAAAAAAATAAAAGATAATTACTCTTTCATAAAATTTTTATCAATATATTAGAAAATAATTTAGATATTAGATTGGGGGATTACGGGGGTTTCACACAATTTATTTTCTAAATGAGAGGTTTGCATATATATCCATTAAATATTATGTCTCTATCCATTTTTGATGAACAATGATGCCTTCCAGTATTATGCTTAGGCCCTGCTTGAAAATCTTTGAACTTGCCATAAGTTATAATACCCAGCCTTAACATACCTAAGAATTTTATAATCTTTAAATTGAAAATATTCTTAAAAATACTCTCATTGAAAGATAGATTCTTTCTTTCTACTAATTTGACATATACTTCAGAGGGGGGGGGGCTAAAAATATTTGGTTAGGACCTTCGAGTCTTCCCATAGTTATCTCTCTGAATATGAATATATATTTGGGTTAATCAATCATTTAGGCATATTTTGATGAAATTGCTAAGTGGATATTAAAACTGGTATATGGTACTATTTTCGATCTCAGGTGCTAGATTTCTGTAAAAGGGCATTTTAATGATAGGAATTTATTGTGTCCAGACAATGTACATCGAAATATTTTACCAGACCTAACTTTATATAATGGAACAAATTTCATTTTATTCATGTTAAAAAAAGTTACAATAAAATTTGACATATCATTCAAGTAATATTCTGCATAAATATAATAAGTAAAAGGTTATTTTCCTACCAACTTTAAAAGCTAATATGGATTTTAAAAAAAATTTGATATTGAAATATTATATTGTGACCAGATAGCACCTCAACTATCCTTTAATAATCTTTCCAAGCAAAACACAAATCTATCGAGAGATTCCTGAAATGGATCTATCCCTTCCCCTTATATTTCGATTGCAGAAGGAAAAGATCAATTTGTATTATATCATTCTAAATGAATGGCATCCTCATTGAATTTACGTATCCGAATTTATATTGCGTTCTTTACATAGACTTGGCGATGGGGGGGGGGGGGGTATATATGATCCCACTTTAGAAATTTTTCTGTTTTCGTATTCCCGTACATCCCCTCCTATTTTATGTATTTATTAATAATTTTTAAAAACTGAATGTAATTCAAAATTTATATCATAATAGTGAAAAGCCAAATTATTTTTATAAAAATATAACATAGCCACAAATAATATTTTTATATTTAACGAAATGTAATCAAAATGAAATATAGAATTATACATATGATGATTTAATAGGTTAATCAATATCGTTCATTAATGAAGATTTAATGTACCTTGCGATAATGCTAATTTTTTAATAATTTGCTCTATATTGGAAATTAAATCTCGATGTATGTTAAGTAAAATTTGGAGGTCAATATAAAAGCTTTCATTTTTAAGATTCTCTTATTAAAAAATCAAATAATTATTCAAGTTAGTCCTTGATTTTGCATTTATTTCAGAATTAAAATGGAATAATTCTAAATTGAACATTAGGTTAATTAGAAAATAAGCACAATCTTGGTATATTCAAAA